TGCCTGTCTCCCAAAACAGTATTTGTTCCTTCCAGCTCTGGCTCCAGCAGCCTTATCAACAATTCTGGGTTTTAGTGAAAGAAGAGAGAGAAGCTTTAACACTTAAGGAAGAAAAAATTTGAAGTATCAACTTTCAAAGAACATTGCATAATAGAAGAGCAGCTGAACAAGCTGGCACTTCCAGCTATGGGTCTCAAGGCAGACACACATGCTCTAAAATTACATTACCAGGGTGGAATACTTCCGAACCTCCAAGGATGACAAACTATAGCTTGGAGCTACTGGACCCTTTTAGGCACCCTATGCAGGGCTAGCAAACATCTTTTCTGTAGCACAAGGGTGACCTTTGTCACCCTTGTGACAAAGCCTCACATTAGCTGAGGCTACACAACCAGGGGAGGGTAACAGCAGGCAGAGAACATGCATGCTGAGCCCTCGCAGCAGGGGTGACTGGCTTGGCTGAGACCAGGACAGGCTTTAGCATGACAAACGTAGGGAACACCACTGCCTGGAGCTTGGCCAGCGTTGCAGCCTCAGATCCAAGGTCTCCTCACTTCACAGAGAGGAAACAGCTGTGCGGATGAGCAAGATTTGGGACCGCTGTAAGAAAGCCTCAAATTTATTTTCATCCCATTTCAGGATGAGTTTAAATTACAAATAAATAAAGTGCAAATAAAATTTCAAGATATAATCATTGAGTATTCATTTTGGTTTATTAAGGTGTTCTCAAATATACTATTCAGAGATTTCTCAACTTTACAGTTCCTGTTACTTTCCTGACATGTTACCTAATGGGTGCTGAAGCTGAGATATTTTTCCCTGCCATTCTTGGTCCCTTACTGTAAAGGCCACTCAGGGGAAAGCACAGAGAAACAGAGACCTGCAGAGATGAGAAAATATGAGAAAGCTAGAGGAATAAAGGGGAAGGGAACTAAACTCTTTCTACCGGGCTACATGTGGATGAAGAACCACCAGATAATATGTAAAGGCCTCCTAGCAGTCATGCTGCAAAGTTACAAGTTAATGTGTGGTAACAGAGGGGAAGGGATAGTGCAATCCTGAGATCTGGAAAGGAAAACAGGGCATAGGGATGTAAAGCTAGTAGAATAAAAGTAGAAATGAAGGCTTCCACATGCACTATGGGCTGTATTGACACAGAGTAAGCAGTGCCCCATACAAGAGAAAAGACGACAGGCAAACACAGCTGCTTCTCCACTCTAAGATAAGCAGAAGACATGGTATAGAAATCTACCACCAAAAGAAATTAGAATAAAGGAAATAGACAAGCAGAGCAGTGAACATCACTGGGTAGGAGATCTGGCTCCCCCCTCTCGTTAAAATAGGCATAGAAACATTGGGAAAGAAAATAACATTGCCAGCCTTGACATACAGAGAGAAAATATTCCAATGTGGACAGCAAAATGGAAACCTGCCTCCACTTAGAACTAGCACAGAAGTGAGGGTGGTGGTGGAAATAATGCCTAGAAGCCAATATCCAGCAGAACATCAGATCAGGAAAGGCAATCCTAGTTTTCAGTTGCTCTCTAGAATAGCTTTTGCTGCTGACAGCCGGCTTATCCTCCCTGCTCTTCCTAGGACTAGAAAAGCAAAGGAGAAGAGCCACTACCTGCGTTTAAAACTTGACAAGCTGTTATTTAAGATATCTGCTTCCTTCATATAGGAAAAACCATCATGTCAGCCTGGTTTCTCCATCCATGACTGGTTCAGCACAAGTGCTAGTCCAAATTAAGACAGCTATTGCCATGAAAAATTACTTCATAAAGCACCCTTCTGTTTTGGAATTTGTCATGACATCTAAAGCCAAGGCTTACTGTCATGCACATTCTGCATTGAGAGACCTGGAACTATGGGCTTCTGAAGAGTAGGCCAATATGTACCAACCTATGAAGGAACCCAACAGACATCACCCTTTTCAGGGCACTTTGCAAGATGTGGCATTTTTAACACATATTTGCACCTTTCCCTACAGAAATGGAACAATCCATTCAGACAACACTTGACCACAACAGCCCCACACCAGCTATATGGCAGAGGATTGCTCCCAAGGCAACTGAAATTGTGAGTTATCTGCCAATATCATGCCATTCTCAAATCAAGTAGTCACAGATGTGCACTCAAGTGCAGATAGTGTCTTCTGTTTAATCCAACAGTTTCAAGATGAACAGCTCCATGGCAAAGTACTACAGCCAGTTCTGCTTCTCTGGAAACTTACCTCATTTCAGGATGGGACACATATCTGGAAGGTTTTCATTCCAGCCCTGCTTATTCTCCCAGGTTGATGCATATTCTCTTAGAGAAGAGATTCAGAGCAGCCCTGCGGAGGACTTGGGGGTGTTGGTCAATGAGAAAATGAACATGAGCCGGCAGTGTGCGATTGCAGCCCAGAAAGCCAACCGTATCCTGGGCTGCATCAAAAGGAGTGTGACCAGCAGGTCAAAGGAGGTGATCCTGCCCCTCTACTCTGCTCTTGTGAGACCTCACCTGGAGTACTGTGTGCAGTTCTGGTGTCCTCAACATAAAAAGGACATGGAACTGTTGGAACAAGTCCAGAGAAGGGCCACGAGGATGATCAGGGGACTGGAGCACCTCCCGTATGAAGACAGGCTGAGGAAGTTGGAGCTGTTCAGCCTGGAGAAGGCTGCGTGGAGACCTCATAGCAGCCTTCCAGTATCTGAAGGGGGGCTATAAGGATGGCAGGGAGGGACTCTACATTAGGGGCTGTAGTGAAAGGACAAGGAGTAATGGGTTCAAACTTAAACGGGAAGTTTAGATTGGATATAAGGAAGAAGTTATTTACTGTAAGGGTGGTGAGGCACTGGAATGGGTTGTCCAGGGAAGTTGTGAATGCTCCATCCCTGGCGGTGTTCAAGGCCAGGTTGGACAGAGCCTTGGGTGACATGGTTTATTGTGAGGTGTCCCTGCCCATGGCTGCAGGGCTGGAACTTGATGATCTTAAGGTCCTTTCCAACCCTATTCTATAATTCTGTATGTGAGGTTTCTACTAATCACATTTTAACGACCTCCTTCCATATGCTATGCTCCTTCATTTAAAAGTGCTTGTTCTCCACATCCTTTCAGTTCATGTCTTCCTGACCCATTACATCTAAGTATCCCGATCCTATTTTTATCAAACACTTCCATTTCAGAGTTTTTTATATTTTTGTGTTGTGAAGTATTCTTACAGAACACCACCAACTCCTTCCTGCCCTCTGTGCACACACAAACAGAATATAATACTAAATCATGTTAATAAATTATAGGACTTGTAAAAACACAGCTTATTTTCCAGCCCACAAGAGTTTACTGCAAAGCCACTTTCATCAGCTGTAGACAACATAATTACACACACATACACACACTTCTTCTCAGGCATTCATTTGGCTGCCATCCTGTTAAATGCCTATGTTCTAGGAGGAAACATTAGAAAGGCAATACTTTAACTCATTACATGAACATTAAAAGGCATATTTGTATTTTGGATAGTATTTTATTTTATTCAGAAGCCACTGGAATTATTTTCCCCTATTATGTATTGTAAGAGCTCTAAACTTAAAAAATGGGTGAAAATTATAGTTCCCTGCCCCATTCCAATCCAACTTGTAACATAAACTTGGTGGCACTGGAGTCGTCCCCAGAAACAGAAACTCTCACTGTGTGCAAGGGGAAAGCTCAAACCAGTGATAAATTTGGTCAGTAAAATTACTTTTTTTTTTTCTTTAATAGAAGGGCTCATACAATTGAGTGTGAAGATATTTGAAGAACATGGAAATGAAATGAAAGAAGTGTGTGGAAGAAATTCTTTTTATTGAGGAAGAGTCTACATATCTAAGTTCTTGCTGCCTCCTGGTAACAGGCATAATGAAAATACTGCACTGAGCATATGTATGGAAAATGGCTAATAAAGCAAGAAATACAGTAAATACACTTCCCACAACATTAAAAAAATTCAAACAATCACACAACAAAGTCTGAAGCACTTCTGTGATTCTGCAATCTTAACATTATGCTCGCTGTTCAGAAGTGCTTACAAATTGACACTTTTTTTGTAGAAAGGTTTTGTACTGGTTAATAAAACCACAGCCTTAAAATTGTTGGCTTTTAGTTACAGAGGTAAGAGAGGCAGCATCTGAATTCACATCAGAGCTTTTGGAAAGTGTAAAAAACAAACAAACAACAAAAAAAAAATGAATGACAGCAGCACAAGCATGTGCCTCCTCCAGTGTCCAAAGCTCTTCGTGGCTTTGTCATGGCTAACAAATAGAGCTACGCAGCTCAACAAAGCAGTTAGTCTCCCCAGATATTTTGAGGCAGCCTGGCATCCATTTTCTTGTTTACTGATACAATACCCTACTAAATTTAAAATGAAGCAGAAGAACGTCAACTGACCAAAAGGAGTTCCACACAAGACTGTCAATATTGACTAAGCCTGGAAATTCATTATCAAAAGAGAATTAATTTATTTGACCAACCAACCTATAAAGTAAGACATACGCTGCTCTGAAGATGGGAGAGAAAGAGGTTTCCATAACTTATGCTGAGCTCAAGCAGAACTAAAGTGTTACAGATGATTTGTTCAGTGATGGTGTAAAGTCAGATTAAAGATACAAACCACAGCAGTTCTAAGCTGTTTTCCGCAAGAGCTCTCTCTGAACAAAGGTATGTTTACAATTTTCAAGTGCTTGTGGAAAAGCTACCGCTGATGTTTCAAACATCACTGATGTTTCAATGCACTCTATGGGGCCATCTCAGAAACACCTTGAACAAACACTGGAGTACAACAGAAATGAAAGTAGCCTGTCTCCAATATTAAAATTATGACCAGTGGAAAAGATGCTTTCGCACACTTCAACATTTTATATTGCTCAGGCACTGAGGATCAATTATCTTGAGCACAGGAATTTTTAACTCTTGTTTTTTTCCTAGAGCCACTGTCCATTCCTCCCAGAAATTAAAAGCTGGGCTACATTTCACCCTTTCACTTCTTTATAATTTGAATTTATTTACACACAAAATGAGAGACAGGAGAAAGTTCTGACATTAATCCAGCAATGGGCACCTTCACCTTGTAATAAGAATGCTTTAGGCAAGGCAGCTGCATTTACTTCAAGAGCATATATAAAATTCAGTGTACCAGTATCAAACAAACAGTAATGTCAGATTATACAATGCCAATACATTCAGGTGGGCCCTTAACTATAAGGTACAAAAAAAGTCAAAGAATCAATTCCCCTCCCTCCCAAAACTTTCCACCACTTCAGTTTTGTTTAGAATGCTACACAATGAATAAATTACATCTTTCTGGGTTAGTGGTGCTTTTACTCCTACATCTCAAGGAAATTCCAAGCTAATTAATTAGAGCAAGAAATTACATTGAGCAGGATAACGTTTTAAACGAAAGAAATGACTTAGAAACATCAATCAAAAATAATTTGATTATGATTAGCTGTGCTGAGTTCCAAGTCATTGAAATTGATGAAGAATGTTTTTACACTGGTCTATTCTATGTAGTCCATTACCTACACTATCTCTGTAGTTCAAGTCTAACAAACATCTGATAATTCAATACTGAAGAATAACATTCTTTCAATGCACGACTTGCTTTCCTACACTGACATGTTTCTAATAAACAAAAAAAATAAAAAGAATCAGTAGCAAGTGGATTTGCAAAATTCTTCACTGGGAGAACTTTAGCGTACATGAAATATTCAGATTTTTATCTGCTCACCTTCTACATAGTCATGTTTAAATATGGCTGCTGCTTTATTCTGAACAGTCATCATCCCAACAGAATTTACAATCATGGTTTGATAAGAAACAATTCCCTGCACTTTCTAACAACTGAGGCCTGCCCAAAGGTACAGCACTTCTTTCCACACTCTCAGCTGAAGTGACGAGCAAGACGAGCAGACCTATAATCAAGACGCAGCTGAACAAAGGAGTGAAGGATGTTCTTGTCCAAATTAGCAAGTTGTTCTCCTGAGCAAACTTGCTTTAAATTATCTGGGGCTACAACCAGAAGATTGCAAAGTGCATGCAAGGTATCAAAGAGTTGTAACACCAGCGCAATCTGTGGTTAAGAGAAAAGAAAGAAACATATTAAGAGTTAGACTTGCTTGAAGTCTTATAAAAGAATGTCCATCTAGATCTTCAAAATACTTCCTCCTGACGGAAGATTTACATCCATCATTCTCTCATGTACTTAAATTTATATATAAATACATGCACATATACATCTGTAGGGAGATACACATGCAGGCAAAGTTATACATAGAACGCTTAATAATGCAAACTCAATACTTCTTCAGTATACACATATAGCCTGCAAGCAATAACATGCTACCAGGAAACTGCTCTTTGGGCATGATACAGACCTGCTGGTATAGTAGAATATGTAAAATCAGTACGCAGAATGGCGATGTTCAAACAGAAACAAACTATTTTTATGAAAAAAAAACCCTATTTGATTAAAAACAGAGTCCTGCTACTGATTTCGACATGGCTGTACATCACCAACCTGTACACACTTACCTTGAAGTCTTTGGCACACTTCCTATATTCAGCCACATCGCATATAGCTAACATGCCTCCCATGCAACTGTACGAATATTGCTGTAGGTGTTCATAAATAAGTCGATGAAAACGAACTCCAAGCTCCATTAAAACTGTGTCCACATTCTTGCCATCCATAGAATTTCTAATTTTTTCCACCTGCTTTCTAACATAGCCACAGACTTTAACACAAGCCTAAACAGGAAAAAAGAAAAATAAATTAGGTAACTTACTTTCTAGAAACCTGTTCTTCTCAGAGTGGCTTCCACATCATAAGGTGAACATCAGCCACTAAGTCTTCAAACTTCCCACAAGACATAACTGAAATCAGTCATTTTCCAATTAATAATTTTTGAACACTGTTTACCACACGAAGACTTAAAAATGCAAGTACAGAGACAGATGCAAGACAATATTCACTTAAGTTACAATTCATACCAGTTCAGAAAAGTCTGATTTGGTCTCTTAATTCAGAAAAAGATCAACCAAGGGGTGGGGAGGAGGAGGAAGTGATTAAAAACCTTGTCAGCTGCAATTCTAACCTGAAATAAACAGCCAAACAGGCATCATCACCCTTCTGACACAGTACCAGACTCTATATCCACTTCTCCCATTCCCACCTAGCTGCAGGCATTGAGGCAATGCTCTCACTTCTTCCCACTGACTGTAGCTTCTTCTGCACTCCTCTCTGAATCATTCCCTAACAAGAGCTTAGCATAACCTAGCACTACAGCTTCTCAGTAGCCCACAGCCTGAGATTCAGACATTTGGTGAGAGATCTTTTCTGCAGCAAAGAATGTTCATGCCATACCCATGACGCTCTGTCATGCCCATGCCATCCTAGGGAGAAAAGTGGCTAGCAACTAGAGTACCTGATAATTGATTTTCTGTAACTGATAGCTTAAAGGTAATTATCGGCTAAAAACCTTGTTCCAAATCTGTGCCTCATGAGGTGAAAGAATGTGACAGTGCCTGACATGAGACAGAAAACTGCCGATGTGCTTTTCAGATTGAGAAAGTAGTCCAAAACAGAGCTTTGACTGTTAGTGCAAAATGGAACAGCTAAGTCAGTGTGTGTTTGGTAAGAAACATCTTGTACCCAGTTAACACTCATGAGCATTTGAAGCTATACTGATGAGCTTGGATTTAGCTTACTTACATTAGTATATTGAATCAAAACATTGTTTTCATCTTCTGGTTTAAAATCTGTCTTCTTTTGCTCTGCAGCCAAGATGTGTTTCATCTGTCCAATCATACAATTCAGTGTCCTTTAAAGTTACAAATACAGGTTGGGTTTCGAAGGGAACATCTTGATTTCTGTGATTTTTATATTTATATATATATACTAATATGATTCTGTGTAAAAGTAAGCAGCATAAACCATAAACCCTACTACCCAATATTTGAGTAATCTACAGAAAACACACTAAATTATTATATGAAGCAAGCAGTGCTAGGCCATGTCAAAGGAAACAATTTAACAGATGTACAAACACATAAGCACTCTTCTCAGAGAAGATACACTTCAATTTACATAAGTTAAAAAAAGGAGAATCAGCAAAAAAACCACCCCAACAAGCCTAGAAACTCTTTCCTCCAAGTTCCTGGAGCAGAGCATACAGCATGCTGGCCAGCAGGTTTTAAAGGGGACAGATTAATTGTAAGGTAATCAGTTCAAATCCAGCTCTTCAGAGAGACTGAATACCATTCTTCAATATACAGGGAAACAGAAAGCCAAAGGAAGCATTCCAAAGTGTTTAGCAGAATTAGATCAAATTGCATATTACTCAGAAGCAAGCATCAAAAAACACTTGGAAAATGAAGGCAGGAGGGAGAGGGAGGAAAAACCTCTCTGCCGGAGCCTAGTGTTTCTCTTGTTCTCAGAAATCTAATAGGGTTTTATAATGTCATTTATTTCTGCCCTACAGGATTGATCTTTCTGGAACCTTATCTAAGGTCAAGGCCCTCGTTTACTTCAAGTCCGAACCAAAGGTCAAACAGCAAAGCACCCCTGAGAGGAACCTCCCTCTGTCTCTTCTTTTTCCTCCCATTTTCTTTACTCTCTCAACCTTCCAGTCTTCCCGAAGGAAACAGTCAAGGCCATCATAGGCCCTGAAGGATTCCAGCTGGGGTGAAAGGGATTAAAATATACGTATCTGAGTAGGGGTGAATGAGAGACGCATATATGTATCCAAAGGAAATAAACTCCCTTTTTCTATGCATAGAGCTCAGACTTGCATTTTAGGTGTACTTCATTCAAGCAATCCAGAAACAGACAGAAATTTAGAGAAATTCTATCTTGTATTCTCTTCAATTTCCATTTTAAATAAATACTCCTAGAAGGCTATTTACAGAGAACACACACTGAAAGAAAGACAGCTGAACTAATTTTGTTCGGCTAACAAATCGCTTTTATAGCGGTACACAATTGTTATGAATGGCATTCAAGAAGCTGCTATTGGGCCTTTTCAGACTGGCTACTGTTGCTGTTACAAATTTGCTTTTATCTTTTAAATTCAATCATTCCTTTAAGCAAGACGATCATTTTTTAACAGCATCAGTGGCACCTTAAAGCAGCATGTTAGCAGGCCCACAGACATTTTACATGTTTCAAAACTAATCTCTCATATATGCTCCAAAGCACAAGTTTGTTGTTTTTTAAGTCTCCATGCACAAATATTTGAACATACCTTTTTCCAGCAGCGAATTGTTCTCCTAAATCTTACTATCACTTTTAAGAGATTAATTATTTTATACAAACAGTAACAAACTACTCTAATGTTGATGACTGACCTATGTCTGTCTGGATCTGAGCTTATAGCCTCAACAGTTCAAGTACTTCAAATCTGTGTGTAAACCTCTATAGAGTCACTTCCAGCAGGAACAGCTAAAATCTCAATTGCCACTTACACATTTTTTATCTCCATCTTTCCTTTTCACCGACAGAAAATGCAGGTGAAAATAATATATCAAATCTTTCTCAATCCCAGTAGGACACAAATGCAGTACTTGTTTTTCCTATACAGTATTCCTGTTCTCATCCCTCACCAATATGGTGTGATCCTCACAAAAACCTCAATAAAGTTTTCCAGAGTAGCCCCTGTTACCCTCAGGATGGCTTATTTCTGTTACTGCAGAGAGAAAACAGGCACAGAAAGTTTAGATAACGTGTTCTAGGTTGACTAATGCCACCTTTAAATATAGGAACATTACATTCTACCCAGACCAAAATGCATTGTGGAACAGCTCCATTTCCTAATATTAAACATACTAGTTTGTTATTTTCCTCTGCTGCAAAACAGCTATGATTTTATTTTACAATTTTTATAGCTATCCTCTCATTTTTGGGGAGAAATGTAGAAATAAATAAATAAATAGAAAAGAATTAAGTGAGTCAAAGCAAGTCAATGTCAAGATCAAAATTATTCCAGGTCCACAGACTTCTCTGACTAAGTCTAATCCATAGCACTGCACAAACTCAAGCAAATCATCTAACCTATTTTTGTCATACTTTTTTCCTAATGGAAAGTCTTTAGCCTATTTCAATCATCATTCCTTCCTGCTTCAAAGTAGAAAAAAGTAGTCTGAGACAACAGGGTAAAACTGAATTATTGCACTCTTTCTACCAAAATCCTTTAATGACCTTCCAGGAGTATTGCAGAAAACCTGCCATGACCCTCTAAACAAAAATCTAAGTTTCCTATGCACAATAATGCATACTTATAGATTAAAAAAATAGAAAAAATAAAATTTAAAAAAAAAAAACACAACAATTGTGTTTAGAAATACTACTACCTTAAAAGGAAAACTAACATACATCACAAGAATTTTACAAGAATAATTAACAGGAAGTTTAAATCCCTACTTGCCTATCAATGCCCATATCCAGCTTCACTTCCATTTGTTCAATGATATCCTTTTTCTTCTGAAGACATTCAGATAATTTAGGAGAAGAACTGCAACAGTACAGAGGATTGGGTATGTGACAATGTTAAAATAGAAAAAATAAAATAAAATTAAGGTTCGTCTGCTGAGTCTGCTACTCAGAATAGGATTTTGTGAAGATTCCCCATCCCATCAGAAAGTGCCATTTCAAGTGTAGCTAGCTGGGTTTGTGAGTGCCGATGGACCGCACTGTAACATGCTCCAGGCAGCATTGTGTCTACTGAGCGGTGCGCCTCTCAGCTGTTGCCATCCCTGGCAAGTGAGCAAGCAAACCCAGATTTTCACACACACTAGGTCAGAGTACATCAGTGTGCTCTACCTCAAGTGTATCCAAAAATGGGTTCCCAATAACATGCAGCTTCCACATAGTTCATGTAGCTCCTGGGGCATGGCCAGCTGCTCCCTCCGAAGATGCTGCAAGGTGCCCCTAGAAGTCTCAGCAGCCTCAATATCACCAGCTCAACCCAAAGCACATCTACAAACCCCCTCTAGTCCTGGCCTGTAACACACCTGTGAGGTCTTTCAGGAGCAACTTGTCTCTCCTTCCTATGAACTCTTGGAGTTCCCTCTCTCCCATTAGTTTTCCAAGGAACCAATTCATTTAACTTCCCTTCGTCCCTCTTTTGTTATAGCATTTTATCTTGCCTCATCATCATCAAGCTGAACCACTCCAAGAATAAACTCCTCTTAATAGAGATGAGGCATGAAACAAATTGCTTTCTTCACCAAAAATGACCATTTACAAAAAAAATGCTAATCAAAATAAAGGTACCTGATCAATGGCATCAGATGATCATTGAATTGCTTGTCAAATAAATGGAAAATAGTATTGGCCTGGTGGACAACATCCAAGAAATAAAGATTTGCGTTCTTTGAATCAGAAGAGGGAATGCCTATAGCAAAGAAGGTTTCATGAGGATTGTAACGATATGCAGTTCTTATAATTAGGATAATGATTTTTTTAAATATGCAGAATTTTTCCATGACCGCTTAAATCACAGGCTTAGAGTTTCAAAAATTTACCATGGTGCCATATATAGAATACTTATCATAGCTATATGAGGTAACAACCATAAGCACAGAAATATGTTGCTTTTTAAAATTTCCAACAGCAAAATGGAACAGACAATTTAAATATTTCTTCAGTACATGAGTTTTATGCTTTCATGTAGGAAAGCTAGGTTCTCACTGTCAAGATTTTAACTTCCTTAATACAAGCAATTTTCTTATTTACTATCACTCTTGAAAATGCACAGGTATCCAAACAAGCATGAAATTCTTACAAAATATAGGACACTATGCCTTTAACACAAAAACATTCTCCTGCCATGGCACAGAGAACAATTAAAAGAGGTATGAAGTGCTGATGTTCCAATTTCTGTGATACAAATGTTTTTGATACACAGATGGAAGCATGCTGTTTTCTATTCCCCAAACAGAAGTTGCACTTTAGAAGACGTTAAATGCCGACTCCCAAACACATAAAACAGATTTCATTTAACCAATACATTCTGAACAAGGCCAATCAATAAGGCACAGCAAAGACCTGCAAAGATCATCTACACAAAAAGGCCAATGAGATGAAATTCTCAGAAAATACTATACTCACCAGCGAGGCCTGTTTCTAAAGCATAATCAATGTGTTCAGTACATAAAAAATCTACAAGCATAGAAAAAATTCTGAAAGCATTCTTCGGTAAGTCAGATGGATCAGAGAGCTTTAAAGAAAAAGAAAAAAGTTTATCCTAAAGGTCAGTTCTACATACATTTGAAAGTTTATCCGATATTGCGCAGGGGATAAGCTGAAAATGTAACAAGTATTCCAGAATAATTGGTGTTTTATTCTAAATGAAAAATATTCATAGCCTTTAGTGTTCAGCCTTTAGCATCATTAAAACCTTCAACAAGATCAAATAAACTGAAGCTAACATGCCACAGGATGCTATAAAAAGTAGAAGTATAGAGTTTCTAATAATGACAACAGTAATAATGAAGGAAGATATTAATTAATAGTTCTTAAAACACAACTGTCCAGAGAGAATCTCAGGTATTACCTAAACCGCATGCCACTGTATGCTAGAAAAACATAGGCAGAAAAGATGACTCCATCCGTATCCTGCCTTTTATCTTTTTACTAAGCTTCTTCCACTGGCCACAGTGACAGGCAGGACAGTAGGTTAGATGGACCTTCAGTTTCATCCAGAGCAGCTGGTCTTTCATCACTGCTACACTACTGCAGACAAAACAATACAGACTGAAAAAACCTCAGCTACACAGTTCAGCTGGAGTCAACGGAGCATGAAAATCTTTATGAAGTGAAGTAATGCTCATATACACACACAGCACCTGCACCTTCATGAGCTGTAAGCAACATGGGATTTCGGACAGCAACTTGTCAGTAAATCCCTTTTCCAAAGAAAAATGTGACAGGGCTTTTTTATGCAGGAAATGCAGCTTTGTTTTTTAAGGAATTACATGAAGACTTCATGATGCTAGCAGTAAGCAAAGATTACTATTGCAATACAAGCTAGTTTACGTAATACCACTCCCAAAGATTTCTGCTGTATTCACCCCCCAAAAAACAAAACCCCAACAACAGAACACCATTACAGAGATTTCCAGGCACTGAAATGATTCACTATATGGTTACATACTGTATTACCAACTTATTTTTCCTACAGCAGTCCCAGGCACTAAGCTAACTTACAATGTTAATGGCATTAAAAATTTGTTAGAAATGAGTATATTTAGCTAATTAAAAAAAAACAACAAACCTCTAGCATTTAATTTTGTAATTAAATTTCAAGGAGTTTCATTTACACTAAAGTACCAGACAAACAGTAACTGACAGACAGTAAAATAAGCAATTTCATCAGAAGAAATATACTTTTTTTCGACTGTTGCTGGACTAAAGCACTTAAAGACCAATAGAGCATTACCTAGGTAAACAATGCTAAAGATTATTCCTCTCAGCATTTTACTGGTGAAAATTCTCTAATGCAAAAGGAAATGGCACTTGACACAGGAAACCAACTGTTGAACTATTCTCTGTATTTTTAAAGCAGGAAAAAGGCTTATCAGGTCTTAGGTATAACTTAATAAGAAAAGCAGAGTAGACAGCAGGTTTAATCATCCTCACTTGTTCCAAAAATAGACAGTATTAAAAGCCACAAAATACAACTAGATCCACATTTAAAAAGGAAACCCTTAGCCTCCACCATGACCTTGCTTCAGTGAAGAATGCAAGAGAATTTTTTAAATAATGCCCTTCCTTTCTTCCTATCATGCTTCAATCCAAAGATTTAACTTCACACACAAAATTATATCACTAATGGAGATCACAGGAAGCAAACTTACCCTGTGACATCTTTCAAAAGCTTGTTTAGTTTCTTGCAAAAGGTTAACCACCACTTCTTGTGACAGAAAAGTTTCTCCGTGCGTGTCAATACTTGGCCCCAGTGGTAAGTTTGTACGTTGCCTTATTCTCTCTTTGAGGTCTTGAATACTAGAACAAACATATACCAAAAGAAGATTTCACTGGATGGAAATTTTGATGCTCAATTTCAACAATGATTTAGGATATTTTAGTTGTTAACTTAAACAGAACCCAAGACACAGTTTAGGATACACAAGCATTAAGACAGTCTTGCAAGCTTAACAAAAATTGCCAGTAAATGCAAAACTACCACTTCTGATTCCATGGTTAATGGTGTTCTACCATGGCAAGTACACGCCACAGGACCAGCTACTCCCCATCACAGAATAAGAGTAATTTCAACTGAATCCTACGACACTATGCTCTGTGGACAAACTTTAGCCTCAATACATTCTGTCACACCGTACTTTCAAAGCACCAACAAAAGTTTTGTATCTCATCCACACCCTCAAATCCTCTCCATTCATCCACTATCTCAGCAGTCCTGATTTAGTCAAGCATGCTCCAACACATTGCCATGCATAAAACAACCCATAAAGTTACTCACTACAATTTAATTTTCCCCCAAGAAAATTAAATTTCCATCTTCGTTTTTTAACTAATTTAATTACCTTGCTGCTGCTCTCTCCAAATTACTTTTCATTCCTGACACACTGAACCCAGTAGCTCTTTGAAAAGGTGCAGTAGTCTCATCACCTCTGCTTCAGACAAGTTTTAATTCTTCCTTTCCCACTTTTCACTAGTCCTTTATTATTTTCCCTACCCTGAGGGTCCTTTCCAACCCTAACTACTCTATGATTCTATGATTTTCTCTACCCTGAGGATAATGAAGTCTTGTTTTACCTTTCTCTAAGTCCACTGCATCTTCTGGACTCATTAAGAGCTTTCTCACTGACATTGCTATGGTCTTTTCCCCTTCCTAGGTCTTGGGAGGGGACCACAAGACCTGGGCAGGTGAAAAAAAATGTATGCTTTTAGATACACACATACACATGCTTTAGGTACCTTAGTTTTGCTTCAGTCCTTTTGTGGATCTGGATCCTAAGTTGAAACATAGATTTAACTGGTATTTTTCATTTCCCGTGAGTGTATAAATACCATGCATCACCTTTCACATGTACCAAGAGCAATACACTTTTTAATGAGAACATAAAGTGATAGCAAATTATAAAAAGCTGTAGGTCATTTTAGAAGCCTGCTCTTTTGCAGTTCATGACTGTATATCCAACGTGGCAAACACTATGTTTCTCCCCGTACCGCCTCCCTTCCATTTTAAAAGTACAAAACTTCACAGAAGAAACTTACCCTCCAGTGCCAATGGACCTTTTCTGGTGGTTTTTGGAATCATAATAGCGTTGCAGAATCATAGCACTCCTACTTTTCAAATAACCAATTTCCACCTCAATGTAATTCTCCAAGTAGGAAATGAAAACGGATTTGATAAGCTTAGACAAGAAAGTCTGCTTATCAGTACCCAAGTTAAATTCCATCAATTTGCTTGACAGATTAGTAGTTCTTTATGCAAAAGAAACAAAGAGGAGAGGAAGAAAAGGTTGAATTTGTGCGAATTACAGCATTACATGTTTGCAAGTACACAGCACAACAAAACCCTGACTGCGTTAAGACTTCTAGCAGTCTTACATTTAAGTAAAGAATTTCGCATAATTCATGTTTAATTACATACAGTACAACCACAATCAAGCAAGTTGCCAGTGAGATGCGGAGGACTAGCTTTTACGCAGTATAAAAATTTTTCTCAAAGATCGCTATATTAAACACTTCCCATTAAAAATAACAATGACAATTTAAAAGTTTCTTTAGGAAAGCAGTAACTGTAAAGGTTCATGGCCGTATTTTTTTTTTTTAATGAGAATTTACATTTTTGGCTTTTCTTCCTACATCTTGATAATAAACAAATTACAGGAGAATATCTACACCAATATAAAATACCTTGTATATAGATCATGGAGATTCTTAAGATACTGCTCTGCATCTGATTTCCTGTGTTCTTCCAGCTGGTCCTTTACATAACACTGTAAAATTAGGGTAAATCTGTTAGAAGAACTAGAAAACACACCTCATACTCAGTACTTGCCAAATTATATTTAGTTTACTGCAAAGTGTGTATCTTAAGGTAATACGTATATTCTTAGGGTTTACATCTCCAATTTACAGATCCTGAATTATCTACAGATAGAGTTAAAAACATTTTAGAAGAAAATTATTTAATAATACAAAGCAGTAGTGTGTGAAGCAAAGACAAAAGACAGATTGCTTCAAAAATGTGACTGACCAAACAACACAAAATCCCTATTTTTAAGATTCAAAAGCACTGGAGGCCTAAGGGCATTTCTGCTTGACAGCAAGCAAAGGAGATGCTTACACATTTGATTATCGCAATACATACACAAGCTTAGAGCTTTCTTCTTGTCGCGTATTTGAACAAAAATCTTTACCATAAAATAGTAAGTCAAAACTGACATGAATTTGGTGTTCAAACACAAGCTTAATCTCTACGCTATAAGGTGAATCTACAGGCAAGTTGCCTTTTGCAATAGTCAGCTATGATTCCACACCCTTATACAAAATTACAAATATTGTAGGTTGTCATTAATTGTTATTACTAGATACAAAATTTATTTTATTTCCTCAAGTTAAATTTTGAAATACCTGAAGTTTAACTTCAAAGATATTTTGAATGAGTTTGGCTAGTACAGTCTCTGGATTGCTAAAGACTTCTCCAACTTGCTTATTCACTCGTTGGCAGAGAATGGCTGCATCTTCAAAGACATCATTCCTCAGGAATGCACCCTAGGGTTTTAGAAGCGCATTTCATAATATATTTACAACAACCTGTATGACTAAATCAATCAAGACCCAAAGAGATACATTTGAAATAAAACATGTTACCTCTTGACACTGTTTTATGTAGACATCAACACAATGGGAATAGCCCTATGGAAGGATCAGAACAACTCAGTGTTAAAGCAGGTTGTCCATACTTCAGTATAGAATCAAATCAAGAAAATACAACCCTTGTGAAAAAGTTACTGTAAAAAAAAACCAAAACAAAAGCAAAAAAAAAAAAAGAATTCATCAAAAGTATAGACTCTTTCAAACCCATTGTTGTCACAAACCTAAAGTTACTTCACTTATCCCCACGCCACATGGATATACACCAGAAGTTTGAACACTCTTTCTCAAGCATGAAAACCAGTTTACATGCATACAAAAAAAAAAAACAAAAACCTTAGAATGGCCTCTACTGACCTTGCCTCCAATCCCCTATTATCTGCCTTTATTCCCCTGCATTTGATTTGAGATAGAACAAACATCTCGGCATTTTTAAAGTTACATATGTTATATGAAATAGTGGTTGTGCCCATGCAAATATGTTTAATTAAAACAGGCACTGATTGTATCATGAGTTGTTTTACTTACGTATTTAAGTTAAAACCCTCGGGTTTTACCTTGAAATGAAGCAAAACTGCTGCCACTTCTCTCATTCTGGAGATTTCGCCTCTCCGCTGTGCACTGGTAAACTCCTGAATTAGCTGGCACTCTAAGTCATGGTACTTACCTGTAGAGGAAAGGGGATAACAACGAAAATCCATCAGGTTATATAACACAAGCACCAACAAAACCTGCAATACTGACATTATTGCATACTTCTTTAATCATCTTCAACAATTCAAATATAGGAATATGGATCAAAGTGGATAAGCTTACTTGCTATCTTTGATTTTACGTCAGAAAACCTGTTAACAACAAAAAATATCATTATTAAATTCAAATCCACATCACAAGCAAAATCACAGACATCCTAGTAACAGGCACACTACTTAAAAAGAGAACATCCAACACAAAGATGGCAGAAAAATTACACACTTTATATCCATAAAAACCTACAAACATCTAATTCAAATCTAGCATTAAGTCAGCACAGCAAAATTATCCCATTAAAAGTCTGTTAAGCAGTTTAGAATGTGTATGTAAATATGATCCCGAAACATGAGCGTGTGAACACAAATTTGAGAACAGAGGAGATAGAAATAAGAACACAATCCATCTCAAAAGCTACATGAATCACTAAGCACCAAAAAAGTAGACAAGGGAAGCATTAGAAAGTTATAGCTATGTGAAGATTATTTTTTTAAAGATGTTCAGATAGAATATTACCTGTCAAAAGGCAGTTCCTGTGCAATCAAGTGTAGTTTTTGAATAATATCAGCTGCCTCTTTAATCTGTTAAGAGTAACACGACAGAATTACTAAAGAAGCTCTGATTAAGGGCTGTTCCTTTCCCTCCCCTTCACTGTCCAATTTTCCATACATGTAATTCCTATTTCTAAAGCTCGCCGAGTTGATATACCCGTGGAAGAGATAACCCCCTTAAGGTTCCTGTGTGTACTTTCATGATGCTTTAAGGGTTGGGATTTTTTTAACATAAAGTTATGTAGGTCAAAACATAATAAAAAGCCTAGTTACATGCTCACACTGGGCATGTCTGTGTAGGTGTATAAGCTACCTGGACAAAGAGCTCATCACTGCACTGGGCGAAGATAGTTATACAGCTTGCAGACCAAAGACTCCTCAGGGCTGATTAGATCAGAATGTGGCTAGAGTAGTCTCATGAAAATCTGCACCCTTCCAGATGGGAATAAAATATACAGCTGTAACTCAGCGCTGACTGAACTGTAATGTTATCTTTTACAAGTGATTAGGATAGAAAACTTAATGAATCACACCCATCTAGAAGAGAGATCTCTGTTGAACTCCAAAGCAAAATGGCTAGCCACCCTTTCAGACATGTCAGGAAAAGCCATAACACTGGCATGGAGAGGGAAAGAAGGGGAAAAAGGGAATCAAGGAATCAAAGCAGAGCCTAGTTAGAGTACCTCACATTCTCCCAATGAAGGACAAATGGAAGCTATTATTAGAAATTACAAACTGTGAGGTCCAAAGTAAAAATCAAAATGAAAGTCAGTTAATAATACACCTACAAAATAGGAATAGTCACTTGAATAGAAAAGCTAACAAATAAACATAATACAGAATGCAGATTTCTGCTCACTTATTCTTCCACAGTCAATCAGCATAGGAAGTGCACCTAAGCAGGGCTTAGTACTGTTTCACTAGGCTGACTCAAACTATAGAAAACACCAATTTGAAAATGTGGGGAAAGAGCTGGTTGCATATGAAGCTCAATGGATTTATGTACACGATGTCAACTAGCCCAAACCAGGCACAGCTCTAGGATGGTTTTAGAGGCTTTGTTATGCTGCCTTGGTGACTGGAAGGTACCTCAAAGGTGGCAATGAAAGCTCTAGCTACTACATTCAAGCAAAACCTTTATAAGTTGACACAACGGAAAACATGCAGAACATGCAGTTTATCTTGTTCTTCCTGTTACTCATGTTCCAGGGATCTGGACTTAGAGAAGGGTAATGAAATCCTATTCTCCCACCACATAGAGCAGGTTGGGATTAAAACTTTTCAAGAATAGAACAAGACACACAGGTAAGAACACAGAGTACAGGCATTACAAGAGGATGGCTGTTTAGCAAAAATAGAGGCTCTCATAAAGTACATCCATTCTGCTTATTAAGAGCAGCTTATGTTTTGAACTGTCAGTTTACAATAGCCTGTTAAGTCCAAAGCAGCTATGCTCCTCACATAAATCCGACGAAACAGCAGTTATTTCTATCAGCTTACAGCAACCTTAATACCTAACAATTGTGATCAATGCTGACGTCATTAGAATGATCTACATATATCAGCAGTTATTCATCGATGTTAAAAAACCAACCGCAAATACAATATATTTTTTGTTTCCTCTTCAGATAATAGCTGTTAACTAACTTAGTTTTTATTGAATTCAGGGCCTTTTCTTATGCACAACAGAAGCCATAACAAATCAATTCTCCATGGTTTCTGCTTATATCTAGACATACTTAGTTTTTAATTGAATCAGTCTTCTGTAAGCTATCAAAATAAATACAACTTAAAGGCTGTAACACACCTGGAGAAAAAAAAAATGAAATATTGTAGACAAATAATGGCAGGACAGAATTTTAACAAAATATTTTTACGAAAAAGCTAAAAGGCATAATGGAATAATGATGAGTACAGAAACTAAATTGAGAACAGGATGCAAGAATTATAGTAAACACATTAAACACAGGACAATGCTATTGCATGATAAACAAGTGAGCTGCCAGATCATTTTGATAGTTTGTTTTAACTGGAGTGATTTGCTTGCTTCAAGACTCTTCAGTACAGGACAATGACTGGTTAGCTGGCAGCACAAGGGAGATTATAAGATTCAGAGGACAAAGACACACAATACATAGCATGGAAGAAGACAGCAAGGAAAAACCTTCATGAAGACAGCAAGGAAAAACTTTCATAAAGACAATAAGTTTGAAATTGCTCCATACGGCTAGGAGAAAGTAATGTGAGAAGCAACACCTTGAGTGCAGGGAAAAAAAGGAATCCAATAGATTTTAAGAACTGACCCTACTGAGAAAAATATGAATTCCCTAGGAATAACTGCATTATAATTGTTTTCCTGCCTCTGCTTTCACAGTATCCCTTGCCTTCAATGTCTCAAAGAAAAACCCACACTTGTGAGGGATGGCATAGTACAAAAGTCACAACATCTTCCAAACCACTATCTAAATTCCACATCAGTTCAAAGATCAGACAACAATGAGAAAGCATTTGATTTTACATTCAAGAATATTTGTTACTACCTCACATTTTAAAACTTATTTTTAGTTCAAAGATTCATTAAGATGTTACAGCACATGTCTAGGCAGGTTCTCCTGAAAACACTACTTCTAGTTACTATTTAAATAAGGAAGCAAAAGTTACGGAACAGTACTAACCCACCTACATGGAAATCAGTTGCAGTAGGACAACTTGGATCCAGAAAACCTTGTTTGTGTTCCCACATACTTCCCCTGCAGACTAGCACAAGACTTCTGGCCTTTACTACATTTGCCTTCCCCATATTTGCTGAGTATCTTATTAGTCTTCAGACTGTCTAAAGGTTAATTTGTTAATTTCCAGGTTCACCCTATTTATCTACTTTTTTTTTCAGATCCTCCAACAGAAAGTATTACGAAACTTCAAATTATAAGTGAAAGTTGAATTCTATGAAAGCCTCTTCAGCAGACAATACAATTCTCTTTCACTTATACTTTGTTATTTACCATGTTGCTATTAAATATTTTTAAAATGCATGTTTTATTTCTACTCAGAAAACAAAAGGAAAACTTATGCAGATCTGGAAAAGGCTGTCCATAGATGAACTTCAGTTATGTTGAAACCTTTCTGTTTGACTTGGAAGTTACAGAAAGTTTTATGGGCTCTCTCTTTGATTAGGGCAAACTATCAAATGGTAATTACCATATATCCACAGACTACAAATCAAAAGTCACTATGCAACTGACTTCTTGGGAATACAACTATATGAAATCATCAGTTTTTCGTTTTCCTGAGAGATACCTTAAGGCTCAGTTGAGAGGAGATGACTATTAATCTGTTCTTGGGCCCTTTGTGAGCGATATTTCAAGCATGTATTTTTTGCTGAATGTGCAAACCAAGTTTTTGCTGTTCTCACATACTGGGGGAATTTTTTTCCAGAGTACAATCATAGCATTGCACAGAACTTAAGGAAAGTGCGAAGATTCTTCAGGACGCACCTTAAAAAAAAAAAACCAAAACCCACAAAACCCTCAAACCAATAACTTACCTTTCAAGCTAAATAAGGAAATCCAGTATGTGTCCATTTGCTTTCAGCTGGACACTTTTCCTTCAGTTTATTTCTATTAGCCACACCATTCAGATTGCATTTGCTTCATGAACATACTCTTGAAGCATAAGAAAAACAAAATACTTTCACATTTCTTTGAAGTTTTCCTGCCTGGTTCCTCTAAAATTCAAAGGGTGGAGAAATAACCACAGGACTATACAAAGCCCAAAGGCATGCTGTGACAAAAAGGCATCTAAGGCCAGTGGACTGACCCAACAGAGTAAAGTTTCACAAAGAAGTTGTATTCAGAAACGTTCTGCATTACAGGGTGGATCTGAGGCAAGGGGTTCAAAGGAAAAAGGCAGATATTTGTGCACTCTAAAGTTGCCCTCCCAGCGTTTCTCAAACCTCGATAATTTCATAAAATGAAAAATGCCAACATTGCCACATTAAGCATCACTGAATACAAATGCTTTATCAGCAATCTGCAGCCTAGTGTTGTTAATTTACATTTCAGAACAATGAAACTTTAACAAGTCAGTCACTCACTAGTTTGAAGTCTGACCATGGTAAGTCATGGTAGCAGCTTGTAATTAGGGCAGTACTGCTTATTGCTTTGAACTGCTTTCATCCCGCTGACAGCTCTTACCTTTTCAGAGTTTGTAAAAACATCAGACTTCAGCTCTCCATCCAGAAACTCATTAAAGTATTTCATCAGCTTCTGAGCCTCCACAGCCCGTTGCCGTGGCGTGTTTACCCCCTCCAGTTGGTCACCAAGGTGACAGACCTTAGTTGCTACATAGCTGATGTGCTCATCTAGTTCTTGGAAATGCTGGAAGGCAACCTGGGAGAACACAGGCACGCGCAAAAAAACCCTCATGATTTCTGTTTACTATACTTTAGGAAACACTAGATTTACATCAGTAAGAAACACAGTGAACACAAGCATTAGCTTTCCAGAACTAATCAGAACCATTAATGAAGTACACACAGCCACTTAAAAGTTCAGTGTCTTCCTTTTAACTATGGTGAAGACTCAGTACTTTCAGAATAGCTAACACTCATTAATGGAACACGCAGATAAGCCCCCTTTGACAGGGGAAATTGTTCTCCATCAAAACCTCTTTATTCTTATCTCAAACAGTAGCATGCTGTACCAAGAAACATTAATAGAGCATGTGATGCTTTTAAAACTTGCAAAGCTTAGCACTGACTATACTCTTTAGATTTTACCTGGTTGCTTTTCTGCAGCTCTTGTACTTTCTTGGCAAATTCCTTTGCTTCCTTCTGGCACTGCTGTTCTAGTTTCTCCACCTTTCTCTGAATCCTTTCATCCATTACCTGTAATTCTTGGATATGATTTACAAATTCTTCCAGTAATCTGATTTAAAAAATGCAGGAAAGCAGACTTCAGTTTGAAAGACACTGTCTTCTGCAGAGAGCTTAAAAAACCTCAAAGAAAAGAACCTGCCTACAAGGCTGGTATAATCACGTCTAACTTACAAATGCTATTTTGTTTTAAATTACATCACCCTAGCTCTGTATAACTCTATGCCTACATAAAAACTATGTAATCACATAAAAGGTAGGCCAGAGGAGAGTGGAATACTGAAATACCAACCACCCAGAAATGCAGCTCTGTCACAGGTACAAAACCCCCTATATTCCCATCTTCCCTAAGGAAGTCTCATAAGGACAAAGAGTTTAGGCTACCACATCCCTTCATTGAAAGAACTATAACAGGGTAATTATGTCTACCATACATGTTACAGTAAACTTGTAAATCAGTATCCTATTAACAGGCAACAAATACACTCATGTAGTCTCGTTGTTTTGCTTACAAACGTTTTCTTTCCGGATTTCACATCTTTTCTTCCTCTAACGTATTTTAAGGACTCTTTTCCACCCTTTCCTATCACTCTGATTTTTCTTCCAGACTCACCCTTCCCAAATACAGGAATGAATTCCTAAATTTCCTCTCTTCTTTTTCATTCCATTCTCAATGTGTGCCTCTTTCTCATTCCTTTTTTTTTTCTTGCCCATGTATCCCATTCCACTCATCTTTTCAGCTTATGCTTTCCTAAACATCCCAGTCACTGATGCTCAAGGAATGAATTATGCCCAGATCCTCCATAGCCATAAAACTCATGCTACTAACTGAAAACATGTGAAAGATCCGATAACACTGCTGCCGAGGTTTAATATTAGATCAGAAGACAAAAGGAAACATGAATCTCTTCCAGGGAGCTATTTCTAGACTACTCAGGAATTGCCTTTTCAGAATACTGTGAATGTGAAGCCCTTCCAATCTGCAATGCTGCTAAAGGCAGAGGAGCATGTTGCTCTTCTCCTGACTTCCCATGAACAAGCTAAAGACTCTCAACAACCAGAAGTGAGAAGCAGAATGTATTATTCTACCTTCATGACTCCTTTCCAGTAACAACTACAGCACCTCTCTTGGCCAACAGCTTTCTCCAAGCAACACCTAAATGATACTAATGCAACTCTTCAGCTGCATGGAGGGTCACTGCAGTTTCAGTTTGAACTTCTGCTGTTAAAATGACTTGCTTGGAGCACTGCTCACTGTACTGGTCTAAAAACCTATTTCAAATGATATCTTTATACAACTTAAAGGCACAACTTACTGAAGAAAACTGGACTGAGGCAGATGTTTATGACTGCCTTCCTCAACTTCCTGCTTGCCCAAAGCCCAAGAGTAAGCATGTTGCACTAGATTCCACAGAAAATCACAAGGAACCAACTTAAGTTTACAGAAATATATTTAAAATAAACTTTAAACAACAGTGACACAAAGCGTACTTTCCAACAAGAGCCTCAAGAAGTGCAGACAGTTTCTATTCAACAAGCTGATTCAGTTCCATTTGAGATTTGTTTACTAAACAGTTATTGTGCCAGCTCAGCACTTATTCAGCAATAGTACCTAACAGAATGAGAGAAGAAAGAATGCTCAAGTATAAGAGGTAGCTGCTGGTCACATTTCTCAGAATAAAGACTCCAACATTCTTTCTACCAAACAAAAGCATCATCTTCTAAAAACAGAAAAAACGTACACCCAAAGGTCCATTTTATTTTTTTTGTAATAATTTTGGCTCCCTACTCAATATTAGAAGATCCCACAAGAAAAATATTTCCTGTTGCAGGATTCTCCCACTTGTCCTGAAAAATCTGAAAGTGCATCACAAGAGTTAACACAACCAAGCCAGCAGAAATACAGAAGATAGGTTAAACTGAGTAGGTATTGGTACAAATCATTAACTACCCTAAAGCCCAACTGTGAAGAAAGAGCTACAGGAAATAAAGCTGTGTATTTCCAGGCTTCTTCCTGCTTAAATCACATGCAAAGCTCTGCATATGACACAGGCCCCAAACCGAATGTCAAACGTTCAGCACCTTGCAAGAACTCAATATCCTTCCTCTTCTTTCATACCTCCAAAGAGCCAAACTGCTCCAGAAGGAACGTCCCTTGACCAAGTTAATAAAGTGTTTCATGTTTCCTTTTGAGCAACAAGAGCTTGTCTATGAAGTTAGTAATTCCTAAACTTTGTTTTGGTTCTATCTCACGTTACTACAATGAATGATCATGTGGGTGAGAAGTCACTGAGGAACAGTTATTGCACTTGTTCATCTCCCAGGTTATAATAGTGTGAAAAACAAATATCAGTTGTATCTCTAGAAAAGCTACCAATACTGGTACAAAAGCTAAACAGTTTGAAAGAGACACTCTTCAAAACAAAGAATTTTCAGAGGTTTGCAGTACAGAAGCTTAGTTGCTGATGTTCAACAGATGGTGCTGTATAAAACCGTGCATCTGCGTTACCAGTGCAAGACCCAATGTCAGCCCAGTAACTGAAGATCTGGCTTCTTAGGGTTAGGTTTCTCACAGAGCCAAGCCAACTCACCACAAAGCAGAGAAGGTCCTACACTACCTCTTCCTTCCCCACTTCCCATACCCTAGCTTTGAGCTTTTCCACACCCGCATTCCTTCTCACCGCCAGCTCACAGACACAGAGTCTTCCCTTTGCACCTGCTCCCAGGCTTTTTCAGTCAGAAAAACTGCTAACTGAATGAGAAAATGTTTTGGTGGTTTTTTTTGTTGTTTTTTTGCTTTGTTTTGTTTTTTCTTCGTATCAGTTTAGTTTTCTGACACTTTAGTAAGTCACATTAGCTTATCATGAGATCGGATGCCCAGAGGTAGCTCAAGATGCAGCTCAGAGCAAGAAGGGCACGAGCCCATTCATCAGCAGCAAGCTGTTCATTTGAGTCAGACTATAAAAATTCACACAAATTCAGTTTAATATAATCTAAGTCAACATAGCCATGTTTCTCCCTTTCTTCCCATCCTACCTTTTATTTGCACCTTTACTGTAAACTACTGGGTCTTACAAAAAGCCAGGTCAGGGAGCTAAACTGGCAAGAAACTCATTAAATTAACTTAAATATCATAGCAGCAAAGCCTCATATTATGCCTTAATCCAGCAACTATAGTGCATTGGAACATTCATGTCTGACAATAGCAATTCTCCTTCCTTCAAAAGGTCTAAATCAGAAAGTGACTTTCCTTACTCTTGTTACTGAATAACTGGTTCATGGTCACAAATTCTAGCAATTCTCCCAAATGAAAACCTCCCCGGACACACACCAATACTGCCTACAGGCTTTTTGTTATATATGTAATAAAACGGTACAATTAAAGATACATTCACTTTGACCATTATGCAATTTTACTTTACCTTTTTGGATCAAAGGCTTCTCCACCTCTGGAACCTCCTCCCGGTGTTCTCCATGCCAGGCGTTCAATGTATTCATCTGCCACAAAAGGCTCCTAGCCACAGAAAAGAAACTCCTTACAATGTGCCACCACAGGTTGTTCCTTAAGCAGCTGCTTACACATAATTTTGAAAGTGTGTAGAAGCTTTGCTACAATCAAAAGCAAGTACAGTGTTGACAATTACCCCGTCACCTCTTATGTTTATGTATTAAATATGGGAACACTGTTCTTAACACAGTGGATTTGAACATCTAGTCTAGAGATAGACAGGCTACTAGCAAAGAGTTTGCTACAGGTCTGGGAAGAGTTGGCTCTAAATTATCTCTCCTGATTTCCAGATGAGTTTATGGCTTGTCATTAAAAAGTGTGAGGACTGGAGCACCTCTCCTATGATGACAGGCTGGGAGAGCTGGGGTTGTTTAGCCTGGAGAAGAGAAGACTCCAGGGAGATTTTAGAGCAGCCTTCCAGTACCTAAAGGGGCTGACAAGAAAGCTGGAGAGGGACTTTTGACAAGGGCCTGTAGGGATAGGACAAGGAGAAATGGCTTTAAGATGAAAGGGGGTAGATTTAGATTAGATGTTAGGAAAAAAATCTTCACTGTGAGGGTGGTGAGACATGCAACAGGTTGTCCAGAGAAGTTGTGGCTGCCCCATCCCTGGAACTGTTCAAGGCCTGGTTGGATTGGGGCTTTGAACAACCTGGTCTAGTGGAACGTGTCCCTGCCTATGGCAGGGGATTGGCACTAGATGATCTTTAATGTTCCTCCCAACCCAAACCATTCTGTGTTTCTGTACGATTCTATGAACCTGCATGATTCTATGAACCATGCAGCAGCCACACTGATTTCACATACTAAATGATGAGACCTAGCTGTCAGCTATGCAGCAAATCAGATAGAACTGATCTGTCTAAAAAGTTAAGTAGTAAAGTTTTCTTTACAATTGCTCAACCCTGCAATGCAGTTCACAACACAGCATCACCAGCAGAACTGGCCAAGACACTGCCCTCTGGCAAAAACAGTGTGAGAATGCCACAGGACGCTATGCAACACCAAACTGCAGCTGCAGAAACAAAACAGATAACGAAAAAAAAACAAAGCAAGCATAAACACAGATGATGGACTTGACCTTCCCAAGAAGTAAAAACAAGGCATAAGTGATGTCAAAAAAGCAAGGTTACTCGGGTTTCTTCCATAGTTTTTGCTGGAGCTTCCACAAAAATGCTGCACAATGGTGAAGCATTAAGATTATTTCTCCACCCAGCAGTATTTTCTGAAGGCAGAGACCTCATTATAAACCCAAGACCTCCTATTTAATAGGAGTATCTCGAGTATTTCTTTACATAGTTTAATACTAAATACTCAAACCACAGTCCAACACCTACCCTTTTAAAAAAAAAAACAACCCTAAGAATTTGTCACTTCAGATTAACTGACAATCTAGCAGCCTTGTTAAGGTGTTAACATCAGCACATCTAAGATCAGTAAACAAAGTATTCTCATAACCACCAGGATTTCATGGAAAGCTTTTAGAACCATTGCTGCATGTAATTTAACACAATGAACAGAGCTGGGAGTGGTTCTGGTTAAAAGTGGTATTTGCCACAACTTATTTCTGATAACAAAACATGTGAAGATACCACAACTACTTTTGATAAAGCTTGTTTTTTAAAAATAAAAATAAACAGATCTCCATAGGTACCAAATTGGTTCCTGTATCAACAGGTATGAAATCTCATTAGACGTAATAGGGAGGAAAAAAAAACCCTTCCATTATTATAGTGTTATTTTAGTAACAAAAAGACAAAGGTTGAAAAGCAAACATTGCCAGTTCAAAGTCTGTCATTCCTCAGAAACACATTATGGTCTATCCAGTCAGGCACAGCTATTAAACAAAAATATAAGTTTTTTAAATATACTTTGCAACACGACGATTCCTGCCAGATAAGAAGTTTCACCATTTCAACAGATCACCCAGAACTCACTCATTCAAAGACTGACTACAGTAACTGAGTTTTGCTCAGGCTTCTTGGTTAAGCTTAAAAAATAAGTGGATGATGCCACATAGAAACAATTTCTCTGCAAGTCACTTATCTCTAACCCAGTTGTTTCTGATACACACTGTGTCCTTTACATGAATCCTTTTTATCAAAGGCCTAACACAGTCTTTTCATATCAAGTGTAAATTCTCTCCTTATTTCATCTTTCGATCTAAATGTTTGGGAACATTTTTGCAATTTCAATTATAGGTGAAATCAGCCATTCAATACAGTAACATTTCCTTCAAGGGCTTCCTACTTACCTTATGGCTCTTTGCACCACTTCTCCTTTACATGAAAATCCCAACCACAGTCTTTCCTCTTAAGATCCCGCAAGTCAACTGGAGTACCACTCTATTTACAAGGATATCAATGCCAAGTACATTGCTACGGAAGAATCCTATATATGGGGTGCACTGTTCACCGATGCTCTGTGTGTGTATCTAACATTTTCTACATTTTACAGTTTTCCTGCAAGCCTGTTAAAGCCTTCTCTCCTACAGAAATCTGATATACATACCCTAGATGCTTGAAAATAATAACAAAAAAAAAAATTTATAATACCCATTTTGCTTATCCATCTGTATAGTCCTCTAAAGCTCCCTCAAGTGCATGTGTTCACAGAATTCTTGCAGTTCCCTCCCCTGCATCCCCAAAACCAGCCAGATACACAGCAACATATACTGTGATTGACCCCAAACCCAGGTGCCACCTGACCAGCCACGAGACCGAACCGAACCCAGTCCCCTCCACTGCCCTCCCCAAGGCACAGGCACTCATCTCCCTCTTCTGCAATGCTCATCCCATCTCGCAGTCTGCCTTTCTCCTGCAACATCTGCTATTCTGCAAAAATTATAAATCAGCATTTTGTTTTAGCAACCTGACACATCAAAGTATTAATTAGTTTAGCTAGACCTAAATGACAGCAGAATCACTACATACAGGTGCAGTAATACTTTAAAGGGGTATACCATGGAAAAAATCTGTTTTTCAATAGCACTTACACAGGAATCCTGTTCTTCAGTTTTTAATCATATAAACCTCATTCTGTATCATTTAAGAAATAGTAACTGCAGGGGATATTACTATGTGCAGAATACTGACCAACAGGGGGAAAAAAAAAAAAAAAAAGAGCTTTTTCATCCAAATTTTTATAAAGGGTGTGCTAAAAACAATCTACTTGATTTATAAAGAATAAGTGAAGTTCAACAGTCTTTTTAAGGCATAATTTCACATATCCCACTACAAACCCAAAACTTTACAGTTTCATTTATGTATTGTGTCTTTAACAAACATTTGCTCTCTTCAATGCTACCTTGATAATAGGGTTGCCTACAGCTGAGAGCTTAATTCCTATTTTAAGTCTCCTACCCCGTTTTGCAGAAATTGCTGAAAATCTACTATTACAAACGTCATTTGCAAGTCCTTTGCCTGTTATCAGATGAGCTCCAACAGTCAATTTCTTCACAGCTTTGAGCTTCCCTCTAGCTCTAGATGAATAAACATTATGTTATCCATTCAGCCAATTAATAAGAGATATGCCTGAAGTGGATGATAACCTGCTTTGATCTCGCCTATATAGACAAAACGAAACTGGACCTAGCAACATTAAAAATCAGTTTAGAAATAATCATGGTTAAATAACACTTTGAGTTACAGGAGAAACTGAGTCCATGTTGTGCCCATTTTTTAGCACAGATCCTTCTACATATCTCTATTAAAAAGTACTTAGAAACACATACTCATGAAAACATGGCAATCAAATACCACCCCCAGTATGCAGCTATGGGTTACTTCCATAATAAGCACATTTTCACGGTCTAACATATATGGCAGCGACTTCAAACTAACACAGTAGGCAACATTAGTTTAATGAATGTCAAGAAAATCTCTCTTGCCTTTGGAGAGAAAGAAATACTGGCTTCTGTATCAGAGAACATGATTTCAAGCCCAATCTCCAGGCAAAGGTGTCCCCTACACTGCAATTTCACCTTCATTACTATTGCAAAATGGAACAAATTGTTGCATGACCCCAACATGCAGACAAAACAAAGTTTTCTTTCCACAGCCAAGTTATCTCACATTCAACATCCCACAAAGAATAGAACCACACTGTCATCACACTGAGGAATCAATGGACTCCTAAGACAGTAAGGGAAAAAAAAACCCCACCCTAGCATCCAGCTATTTATAACATGATATATTAGTCCTGCTATTTTTTTTAAACCATGCAAGCCAAAAGATACAACATTCATGTGTCGTAATAGTGATTCATAAATTTAAGTGCATATAATGCATTTATGTAAACTATAGATAGAGGATCTTCCAGAGAAACAGGAAGACCTTTCCTGAAGGCTGGGCAAAGCATGTCCCAGTATTAACACACCAAATGAACAACTGCCTCTTGAGCGACTCGGAGAACAAATACAGGATACCTGGTAATAATACCACATCCCCACGCATTAGCATGGGAAGACAAGCACTTTTCAGACTCACATATAATGACAGCCCATAATGCAGGCCCAAAGAGAAGAATTCGCCAGACTCTTGCTGTATTCCTGCCCTGCCATGTACAGCATTGGGCAAGTAATGAGTTTCTTGGGCCTCAGTTTCACAGTAGCTAAAGGGAGGGTGAAGCTATCTTGCTTCAGAAAAGTAGAAGCTGTGACTGGACACCGTAGCGCTGGGGTCAACTGAATCTGTCCATTCATAAGAAGGGTGGCGGTGGGGCCTGGCACAGCCTGGCATCCTGCTGAAAGCGGCACCCCGCGTGTTGCAGAGCCCTGGGGAAGGAGGCCCAGGCGTAAAAGGCACCGGTAGCTCCCACCCTAGCGAACGTGAGGAAATGCTCTCCCCCACCCGCGGCAGCTTTAGAGAAACCGCCCGCCGAGGGATCACCCTCGCTCCCCCACTTCCTCAGCCTCCCACACCGACACCCCACTCCCCTCGTCCCGGCAATGCGCCCCTCGCCCCCAGCACACGCCCTCGCCCACGGAAGGAGGTCCAGCCTCACCGCTCGAGGAGGAAGCAGCTCGCCCGGGGGAGCTGCGCCCCGGCCGCGGAGGGGCAAGCCCTCCGCATTCCCTCAGAGAGCCAGCCATCCTCACCTTCACCTCCCGCCCCTGGGCCCGCCACGGGCCCCTCGGCCCGGGAAAGCCTTCGGGGAACCCAGGCACTGCCCGCACCCACCTCGAAGAGCTCGGCCGTGGTAGCCATGGCCGCAGGGAGGGCGGCAGAGCACCTCCTTCAGCAGCCCACCGCCAGCTCGCCGATGCCGCCCATTGTGCTCCACAGCCCCAGCAGCACCAGCCGCCGCGGCACCGCCTCCACCCGCCGGAAATGGGCTTGCGCCGGGCAGTCGCCGCCGCGCGCAACTGCCGGCTCCTCCCTGGCCGTGGCCGCCCCTCCGCAGCTGACGGGTTCCCTTTAGCGCCGCGTCGGCGCCGCAATAGCTTTGCGAGCAGTGTGGCTCCTCAGATATGATCTTGGGGCTGGCGGCGCCGTGCTCTTCTATGGGTAAGGGCAACGCACCGGGATGGGGGCCTGTGAAGACTGGGGAGGCGGGGGTGGGCGCAGGCCCGGCAGCCAGGGTAGGCTCGCGGGCCGGGCCGGGCCGGCGTGGGTGTCCTCTGGGATCCGGAGCGCTGTGGGGCGGCCGGCGGCGGTAGCGGGGAGTTCTGGCCGCTTTGGCAGGAGAGAAAGCTGGCGGGGTCGTGGCAGCTTTAGAGAAACCGCTGCTGCCTCGGGCTCTGAAACGTGCAAAAAATACCGAGCAGTGTGATGCTGACTGAATCCTTTCAGCAGCATCAGTGCGCTGCTGGCCGCTGTCCTTTTCTGATTAATTAAATCTTCCTTTTTTTTTCTTTTTCCCCCTAAGTTCTGCAATCTGTACGTGACTTTCTTTTCACTGTTCCTCTTTCTGTAAAGATTTTACCTAGCTCTTCTCTGCCCTGACGTTGAAAAGGGCAAGGTGGAAATTACTAAATAGTCAGATGAAAGTGGGTAAAGTAGAAAGCATGCAATTTGCTTATATTCTCTTCTTGTATTGTTCTGTAACTAAAAAATGTGTGGTGTTTTCAATCAGAAATGTAACTTTTGATTTGATTTTATTTTTTTGCATACGAAGACAGGTGGTTTTTTTTTTAAGTTAGTGGAAGAGTCCACTAAGTTCTCCAATGCAGGGCTTTTTATTCTGAACTGTGTTCTAAGTAAGACTTTGGGCTAGGCAGGCTGCTTTTGTTGGTCTGCCAAAATTTGTTACTATTTCAGAGGATTCGGAGGAGCAGAAAAATAACGGGGGTTAGGGAACTGAAAAATGTTGAGACCTGATTAAAGAGACGTGATCTGCAGTCCTTGTCTGGATTCACTAAAACTGAAGAAGGATGCAAAAAAACCCAACCAAAACAACAAGAAGAGCAAGTAGGCTATCTTCCATTTTCAGGTGCAGACAGATCTCTGCCTCAGACATTCCTCTCATTGTTTTAGGATTAGTATTATGGTCCTTGTACTACCTACAGGACCAGAGGTGAGGCCTCCCCTCTACAAACACAGAGAAAGAGAAAGCCTTGTCCCCAAAAAACTGAGAGTGTAATCACCACGGAGGAAGAGGGGGCTGGTGACGGGGATATGTGAAGTAACTTGTTACACAGTAAGTGGCAGAGACAAGGAATAGTGCTCCTTTGAAAAGGGCAAACTATACTTGATACTTCAAGTGATTTCCAGACTTAGATCTTTCAAGTTCCCAGAGGAAATAATAGTGCTGTGGAAACCCCAAGTTTATCCCCCTGACTGACCTTAAATTCAACAAAGCATGCAGACAATATAAAGAATGCCAGATCACATGGAAACTGTTGGTTTCAGGACTCATGCACTCAGCTGGAGATACGTGAGCCTTGATCTTTAACCTCAGAGAAGACATCTGAGACATCAAAGCATTCTGCTTTTCTTGAGCTGGTCATAACTTAATTCGGGCAACAAGTATGGTCTCTCTTGAATCACCAAAGCTCTTTCATCCCTGGAAACTTTCATCTTTTTAAGTTTTCATCGCTTTCTAGAAGCGAATACTGAAAAACTGAGATCTGAACGGCTAACTAATCATCTAATTACTCAGCTAAAGCTAGGAAGATTCAGTGAAAGGAGGAAAAGATTGATGTGGGATGGGAGACAGCTTCAGCAAATGGAGCAGACAGATAGGGACATAAGACAAAACTAGGCTGAAGTATTTCCCCTTCCTTTGTTTTGGAAACACTGGCGAAAAATAACAGATGCTCACTGTGATAAACACATAAATGTATTGGCTTTTGCAAATCATAGGTGTTGCTATGTGAATATAACTGTATGAGTTTGCGAAGCTTGCTAAAGACACAAGATTAGACAACAAGTTGAAAATGGCCAGAACTGTTGAGCAAAATGGAGTCACATAGCAACAGGCTAGTGCCTGGAAAACATAGGGTTAAAGTACTTTTAGCCTAACTTAGGTTGAAGACAAAGAACAATGTTTGTGTTGTAAGTCTGTGGAATTTAGTGGCCCCACTAAACATGAATGAATAATTTCACACCATCCTTCTCTTACCAGTTAGTTTAGAGACAGTGCCTCCCAAACATCTGCTGGCTTTGGATACTCCTTGTCTGCCCATCCTGCAATAAATTTTGCAGGAAGGTCACACTGTTCTAAATCTTTGCCAGCTATCAGAAGAATTACAGATATGGCTGGTTTCAGCTAGTTTTGTGATTACTAGGGCATCCAGCTGTGCCAAAGGTGAAAAGTCCACTGTGAGGAAGACTGCTTACTTCATCTTGAAGACCCCTGCTCACATGAGGAAGACTGCTTACTTCATCCTCAAGACCCCTGCCCACAATCACTGGAGAGCAGCACGCAGATGCCAAGAGAAGACGTATGATAATAAGTTCCTGGAGTGGTTATAATATTCCCTGCCTACACGTGGGAATTATGAATATGTATATGACTAATGCTATAGCAAAAATATATAAACCTGTGACAAATCAGTGCGCCTCTGGCTATGGTCACATGTCCAACGCTGTTGCTTTTGCTTTATTGACTTTGGTGTGTAACCTGTGATATGCTCTTTGAAGGTTGTGAATAACTACTAAGAGAATCCAAAATAGAGAATATAAAAAAGCAAGCCTGTTAACGAAATTTAATGTAAGAGAGACTTATGGGAGTCTGAAGTTCCAAAAAAGGATGAAAACCAATCCATTTGTAGAAGTAATAATTTTTCTTTTCTCAGCTGCTTATTAGAAGACAAATTCTTAGTCCCTCTTGATAATTTTAGGTTAGCTTGAGAAGAAATTCATCCTTCTCTCCTTTACGAGTAATACTGCTTTAAACGAAAAAATCCCAGACACAGCATTAAACAGCTAGTATAATTTTTCTCAAATATTATCTCTAGGAAATTTAAAATTAAATATATACATGGATGCAACATAGCAATTTTAAAATATACAAAACTCTGTGTCTCTGTGACATTATGATTACTTAAATACTTGAAAAAATGAAATGATGAAACAGTCATAAAAGCTTAAAGTCACATATACCGCATATGCAGTGTGGAATCTGTTTTGCTTCTCTCCTTCCGGTCCACGCAGCCCATGCCAGAAAAATTGACTTATGTACAGTGAAATGGTGTTGTATTTATAATACTGTAAAGATTTTAGTTAATCTCATTAATCAATTAAAGCAACTGCTGCAGATTAGTTGTGTAAGTTCAAAACAGCAGTGGTATATTAGCATACTATAGCTAGGCAAAAAGCTGTTGTATTTGGATTTTATTATGTGGGACATCTGTTTCTTAAGTGTCTGAAAACTTGTCTTCTTGACTGTAATTTCACCTCTTAGAAATAGTTTGCTGTTGCAGTTTTGCTGCACTGGTGTGAGTCATGCTTGGGTTCATTAGTGTCGTTTAAACATCCCATACCTTTGTGCAACAGGAATGGTAGACGGGTTCACATTTTATCTAAAAAATGAGTGAATACGTTTGCTCAAAGTTCTCAGGAAAAATCCACCTGCTATAATGAATCCTAATGACTTGTGAAATAATTTTATTGTCAGTGATTTAGATCACTGTTCCTGTCACTGTTTCTATCAGGATGCTGCTGGCTCCGTTTACACAAGGTTCCTTTTAGCACCAGAGGGGCCTTTAGGAGTTACTTGAATACTGAAAAGAAACCCATCCTTCATTGTAACAGCGGATTGTGTGGTTGGTGTGATAATTTGCGTGGGAAAAGATGAGCAGCATTAAGATGTTCTTATTTCCATGTCACAGATGTTACCCTGCTGTTGAAGTGCATGCTAAAACCTTCAACGGGTCAACACATGCCTGTACCCTCTGAAAGTGCTTTTCTTAAAGCCTTGCATTTTGAACTGGAGCTCACAGATGACCATATCTTCATGAAGCATCTAGATACTTGTACCCAAATCAATCATTCATCGGTGTATTCAGTTCGCACCAAAGGAGGGGATCTCTGGCCCATGCTTGCTTTTCAGAAGAGTGGTCCAATATATGCATGTCTTCCAGTAGTTGAGGAGACCTTGGAGCCACAGCCACCCCTCCTCACCGTTAGTGGGCTCTTGCAAGGACTGGCTTTTTTGTTAGGCATTGTGGGCTACATCTCTTCAAGTTGGAAAAATGAAGCTGAGTGTGAAAATAGGCAAGCTTCAAAATTTGCTTATACAGACCTGTTTGGCACCCCCTTAAACACAAACATACATAGTTTAAACAGCTTGTTTGATGACATTCAGGAAATACCTACAGATAAGAATCAACTGGCTTGGAGATCCAGCAATATAAAGGCAAACCTCAAGTGAACGTCTTGTATCACTGAAAAAGTCAAGTGTATGCAGTATGACACAAGAGATGTTATGTACATGTAGCAAGTTTGTGGAACTGTAAATTGCAACATGAAAGCATTTTATGTGCAAGTCTGATCAAAGTATTTTTCATACAAGCACACTGGGAAAGTAAGTACTTATGCCATTTTACTTTGGGATGTGAACAGTGAATTTTAATACTGTAATATTTCAAAGTATAATGAAATATTACTTATTAGACTGATGTGTTAGTGTTCTTTATTTTGATCTTTACTGATTTTTTTTCCTGCATGCTTCATGCATTTTTTCAGTAACTATTTATGGGACTTTTCCAGGTTTTCATTGTTTAATAATACAAGTTGGGGAATATTGACTAAATAGATCAATAATAATTATGAAATACATTAAAATTTGTGTTTTCTATAATTGATGTATTTAACATTCATTCTGAATTATGCTTAGGAAGCACACTATGTTATCAGAGTATTTGTCAGTGTTTCGAGAGGAGAAAGGCCTAATAAAGTGGATCATGACAATTCAGTTAATTGCAAGAGGTGGGATATTCATCTCTGAAGGAAGCTAACTGAGCTTTCAAAGACTGGGCTATTTCCCATCAGCGATGCTGGTAGGAATTATAAGGGTGTACAGCTTCTTGCTCTCAGAGGGACAAGTTTCTAGGTCATCTTGCAGAGGGGATGGCCTTACATAAGAAGAAAGCCCTGGTGTAATCATTCGCTGCTGAGCTGGCACACGGAGAGATGAGACAATGGATGTGCTGCACATGGTTGCTGTGGGAAAGCTGACTTGGGACCACAGTGGCCATTAATAGCATGCTTGAATACATTAAGCGGATGTTGTAAAAGTAACAGAATTAATTAGACTGTCAGCATGCATGTTTATGTAACATTTGTCATATTGTAGCTATACATTAGTCCTTGGTTTGCTTATCTGTTTTCTTGCTAAAGAGTATTTGCTGATTAAGAGACTGCATCACTAGCCCTACCACATGGGAAAGGCTGCTGAAATGGGAAAGGGACTTGGTTTTGACAGTATTTGTTGATATTGATATTTGAAGCCAGCTGAAAATTTTTAGTGTGATTTTATTATTTTTTCTTCTAATGATTATGTTTGAACATCTAATTTTGACTTGAGGGAGTTAATCTAAAGTAACTTGACTTCATTTTTTAAGTGTGATGTAGAGGGATCTGCACCAAACATAACCCTCAGCTTGACTCTCCCGACTAATGGTCCTCCACTCCAAGATATCGTGATCCGTCATTTTGTGACTTCCATTGACACTGCCATGCTGATGTCCAGTAGTGCCGAATCACTGGATGATTCTGTGTACAATGGACCTTACAAATTTCCTTTCATTCTTCCTTCAGATTCCTTCAATTTGTTTTACTACACTTCCCAGGTAATAACATCCCTGACGCTTGTTATTTTTGAGTCTTCAAGCAGGGATAAAAATACTTGTTGAATGTGTCTGAATGAGTTTCAGTCTGATAGAGGCAGGTAATGTGTTTTTTATATAATAAACTGCTTGGAATGCAGTTGAGTCATCTGAATCACATTCAGGAGGTGCCAGTACCTTTGTTTGGCATGGCTGCTCTTACTTTAAATGAACTATTTAGATGCCTGAATTTGAAAAATATATCCAGGCTGAGATATGTCAAGTGCATATACCACAAGTCTGTGTATCACAAATAGCCTGAAGAGTAAAACAGTATATAACTGATCTTATGATGATGGTGTTAACTTATCTTGAGAATTAATTTTTATTTTTTATTTTTCCCCAGGTTCCTGTTCCACCAATTTTGGGATTTTATCAGCTTGTTGAGGAGTGATCACAGTTAAAAATAACAGTTAATTTAAAGCTTCATGAAAGCATAAAGAATGTTTTGAGTACTGTAAAGCTTGTATACCTTTTTTCAACAGGTAAGAATAAAGAAATCCTAAATAAATTTATTCCATTTCTCTGTAATCTTCCTGAAATAAACCTGTCAGGAGTCAATATAATAGATTATGATCCATCAAAGTACTACCAGTGGATAGTGGACTTGCGGTGTTCTGATGCCCACTTGGAATTCTTGTAATTTCCAGAAAACAGAATTATACCAGAATATTTGGTAATGTTCTGAGTACTTCTGTTGTGCATCTCGTTCCCCCATGGTATTTTCTCACTGGAAATACTGCCACAATCCCAGGTGGATTAAGTCTCAAGATTACTTCCAACCCAGGGATACCTGTTCCTTAAGACTGCTAATCCTAGCTACAGATCAGTTTATCAAAAATATAGTTATTTAAAATTAAAACAATAGTTTTAATTTAAGCCTTTCTGACAACTGCCATGACTACGCTATCACATAATTATCATGAAAATTTAAAGATTAAATGATACCAAGTTGCTGATGCTGATCATAGTGTTAGTAAAACATCAGTGAACTAAGGACAGTAAAATATCATTAGCTCTTCTTTGATTACTAGGTTGAGACTGTGGTGATTTCTTCCTGCTCTGTAATTTTTTTTTTGTTTTCTTTTTTTTCATAAATTAGCTGTGTGCTCGGGTATGATTTGTTTCTGTGCCCATAAAAAACGTCTTTCAGCATTGTGTTGCTTTCTTTAACAAAATGGTGTTAGCAAATACTGAGCGATACTAGTTCCAATGGTTTTATTTATTCTCTCTTACTGTAGGGGCCCAATCACTCTATTAGAGTACAAGGTTGTGTTATGGCCAACTGGATTTGTCTCAAGAGAAGAGCCTACTGGTTTGGGTCATTGCTAAGCAGAATACCCGTGTTACTTCCTCCCCTAGTCAGTTTGTACAGTGCAAGCAGAGCTGTGTAATTTCTTACAGATGCTGTTTCTGGCTTTAGGACAGAAGTTCCCTAAATCTTTGTTTCTCTGACTGGAACTGTGGGTTTTGGCACTGCAGGCAAAGAGCACCCAACTGATTATATTTGCACTGAGAATGCTGCTTACGTGAAAGCAAATTGCTAACTCTGTGAAAAGAGGACTTAGTAGTAATTTATGTTATTATCTTAAATTGTCTATGAAGATACCCTGATTTAAAATCATACCTAATTATTAGCCTGTTTGTTCTCAGCATGGAGTTTTTTGTTTTCTTGCTTACAGGATTTGGTGTCCTGTCATTTTGTAGTATGTTTGCACATCAAGAGCATGTAACAGATTGCCCATGTTTACACAGCAAGCATGACAATATGCATTTAATCATGTGTTCCCTCTCTTCCTATAGTTGTATTTTAGAATCTCAGACTTTACACTTACTGGATGTTATGTGCACCAGCATCCTGTTCAGATCTTTGTACCAGGAAAACCCCAAATTACTGCATGTGAGTTGCTAAAAATGTCATTTATTTAACTGAAACTACGTATTGAAGTTATGAACTGGATGTCAGTGACTAAAATTATGTAGCTAATGTTGGACAAAGCTCTTTCCTGTTTGCTTGGGATATCTCAGAAGTTTTGTTCTCTGCTTTGTACTTTTGTGTGTGTGTGTGTGTGTGTGTGTGTGCGTGTGTGTGTGTGTGTGTGATGCTTAAAGTGTCCCTGGAATAAGGACTGGCATCTTGCTTGAAGAACACCCTTATTGCTCAGTTACAAAGTCATTCTGTCCCTTGGGCTCTTTCACCCTGTAATGTTTTACTATGCTCTGCATAATGGCAAAACTTCTATGGGGTGGGGGGGCAGAGAATGACTCTCTGCGGTCTGGCCCCTTATCTTTGATCCTTTTGCTTGATGTGATAGATGAATTGGGAATATCCAGCTGCAGAACTCAGCTCCTGCATGGAACATGTGACTGTTGCTGTCAGTGTCCCCTCACCAGCATCCCTTGGTGGCTGTGGGCTTACATGAATCTGGAGCAAAAAACAGATCTACTTATTCTTGAGTTAACACATGACCTTCTAAGTCTCACCAGAAATACACTAATTTGGAACATAGTAAGTACACATTAAATCTGAGCAGTACTAATGGAAGCATTTTTATTTGTAGCAGTCTATCTGTTGCAGCTGCTGTCAGTCATGTTAGCTGAGTCTGTAAATGCCTTTTGAAAACTATGGTCTACACCGCTAATTTTGTGACAGATCATACTCAGTCCTAAATTGTAACACAAAAAAGGGTTTTTTTCGTACTGTATGGTTTATGTCAAGTATGCAATTTATATTCATTGAACAAAATCCAAGCCAGCCCTCTGCTTTTGATTTAACCTCTGTTTGAATTTTAAGCTTATGAGCGATACATTAGTAAACGTAATTGAAGCTGATACTTTATATGTCTCATTATCAGAAGCTATTTTCAAATAATAGTAAGAGTCTTAGCAGGTTAAAGAGGCCATTATACCTTTTCTGTAAACTAGTAAGGATGGATTAGTAGTCTCTCAACTTGGATGAAGGAACATCTAATTGTAAGGCACCTTGTAATGATTACTTTTTTTGCCTTTTTTTTCTAGCCTGGGATCTTCTTTCTTCCAGTTACTACATCTGGAATTCCAAAGCACCAGCACCTGCATTTTTTTACACCATAGACTTGATTAATTTTCCTGTGAATGATTTTTGCATTTAAACAAAGCAGACAGCTAATGAGAGTAGCATCATGATACAGTGAAAAGAAATGTTTTCCAGCACTTTGTATTTTGTATATTTGTTTAAAGATTTCTGTTAAGGAAAAACAGAAGTCACTTGTCTTAAAAACGTAAGTTAGTCTTAAATCGGTTAGTCCTGTGTAAGAGTGTAGAGAAGACAATTTGAAACGTACTTGCCACAGCCATTTTTACTTTACATTCTAACATTAACTGGTACAAAATAAGTACCTAGTGATACAGATACAGACTGGTATGATTGTGCTTGTCTTTTGGGAGGACTCCCAATTACTTCATTGGTTTTGTAAGCCAGACAGCTCACAGGACATGAATGCTGTCAGTGTCTTATTCCTGTCCTGAATTCACAAGAATCTGATTAGATTAACAGGACAGTTAAAAGCAAGAGTGCATACAGAATGCATACAAGTCAGTAATTTACAAGAATTTTGAGAGGGGGAGTATGACACAATCAGCACTTCTGAAAAAGGAGATGATGCAGCAGTCTTTTTGCCTCTGTCAGAAGTGGCAAGTCCCCTTTCACATGTGCTGTGAAGTGCGAGGTGTGAACCTGGTTTTTAGAATCATGAGACTGGCTCCGAGCAGACTGTACCAGCTAAGTCTGCTGGATGTTCCAAAAACATCACTGAACTTTTTTCCTTGGAATGATAGGTGGAAAAGGACTCAATTTACAGAGGCAGACCTCTGATTTTGAGAAGAAAATTGGTATCTGCAGGAGCACTGGAAATGAATTTTAAGAGAGTTATCAGGAAACAAGCAAATTCTGAGAGGCTGGTGAAAAACAGAACCTGGAGGGCAGCACAAAAGAAGAGAAGAATGCTTTCTAGTAACTGAGCATGCTGGCTATGCCTGTTGTACCTCTTGTTTAACTGTATGCTGTGTGATAGATAAGATTAGTGATGACATAAGGAGAAGAGTTTTAAGTTATAGTTTAAAAAATGCTTAGATTGAGATAGTAATTTAATTGGTTGATTAAAAGTTCTGAATGGTGGATTAATTAATTTGAAACATGCCATTCAGTTCAGACTGCTGTGCAAATTTGTAAAACAGAGCTGTGCTGCTGTGACCCGTTTTACACAGGTGATGTGTCGTAGAATCATAGGATAGTTACAGTTGGAAAGGACCTTAAGATCATTTAGTTCCAGCCCTCCTGCCATGGGCAGGGACACCTCACGCTAGACCATGTTCCTCAAGGTTCTGTTCAACCTGGCCTTGAACACTGCTGGGGTGGAGCATTTGGGCTATCTGTTCAGTGCCTCACCACCTTCATAGTAAAGAACTTCTTCGTTACATCTAACCTGAATTTCCCCTGTTGAAGTTTGAACCCATTACCCTTTGTCCTATTGCTACAGCCCCTGCTGAAGAGTCCCTCTTCAGCGTCCTAGTAGGCCCACTTCAGATATTGGAAGGCTGCTGTGAGGTCTCCAATGTGTCCATTTTGATTAGCAGACAACAGGTGAATTAATGATTTTGCCTAGAACCCAGCCACTACCTGTTACAGCCATCTGCATGCCTGAACACCACAAAGTCAGTGGAGAGAAAGGGTCTCTCTATTCGAAGGGTTAAGATAATTTTCTGTACACCAGGCACCCACCACAGGATTTCGGTGTGTGGTGTTTGCATTCCACCCGTAAGAAAGATGAGAGCTGTCTGCTCTGCACAGCAGCCCTATGGAGGAATGGCTTCTTCACCTTCACAGGTTCACAGATTATTCCTCAGTAAATGCTGTGAGGGAATGGGACTGTCAAAATTCACACTGCACTAGAAGACACCTTGTGCTTAATAACAGGGGTTCCCTCCCAAATCATGATCCTTTTTGCCTCCCTCTTGCCCATGTCTAGCTCTCAAGGTTAGGAGAACAGCAGTACTCGGGAATGGACGCTGCTGCTCTAGATTACTTTGCACACGCCTCTCAATGCAGGTTTGGATGGAGGGAGGGAATGGATGATGTTTCTCTTCTAGCCCTGAGCAGTTTTCTGCAACTTCATGCAAGCCATGTGCAGTCTTGGGCAACATCTGTGAGACACTCGTGCTGATGGAGACAGTCAGACAAAGCTTTTCTCCTGATCTGATGACTATGCTTGTCCTTGGAAAGGGGAAGGGTCCATTCTCATGGAAGCTTCATAAATCTTAGTAAACTGGTAAACTGGTAAAGTAAGCTCAGTAGTGAACTCAGTCAGCTTCATAAACCACATAAAATCAGAAAAATATCATTGAGAGCTCGCTTGAGCTTGACAGAGGTGGCATCTAACAGTAGTTCTGGTGGGCTTTAAAGATGATTGAACTCTTTATCAGTGGTATTCATTTAAAAATAAAAACTTTTAAAAATCAAGGTTGTAAAATGAGTTTTTTTAGAACAACAGTTTCTTTAAAAGTACTATACATCAAAGGGAAAAAATAAGAATTTTGTTGTGGTACAGAGGGCTGTTTCTTCCACAAGACTGGAAGTGCTTATATTTATAATTTCATCAGAGGTATAGGCTATATGATATCTGTTCAGATAACTTTGCACAAAGACTTCAGAAGAGTTGGCTGAGGAGTTCTCCAGAGTTAGTATTCATTTCAGAGAGCTAGAAGAAAAATAACATGCACATAATTGGAAAGAATAAACATATGGATGTAAATAAATACTGGGTTGTCAACCCAACATTTTCCCAAACAAAATAATGGGTATAAATAAGTTAATGCAGAACTCCATTAATAAAATGATTCATGTCATTCAACTTTTGGGGTCATTAAATAATGACAATTAGAATGAATTTAAAGCAAATGTGTACTGCCAAAACTTTTTGGATGAGACTGCACGCTTAGTTGGCAAAGAGAATTGATGTAACAGACCTCTAAGAAATTAAAATAATAGTGCAAAATCTATGTATAACTCACTAAACACGGTAAAAACTGGCTGACATTTCCAAATGGGAACCATCATCAAACATATTTAGGAGCCCAACTGTGTTATTTAATACATTATGGAAGGAAATGAAGTTCCTAGATGATGCAATGGCTGAGAAGCAGCTATTACTGAAGCTGTCATAGCCCTCATTCAAAGCCTGATAGTCTGAATATTTCAGGGGGGAAAAAAAATCAGTGGTCCAGGACAAGCAGGTACAAAGGTGTGGATCTGAGAACAGATGCCGTCAATACAGGGTGGACCAAGGAGTGTCGCAAAGGCCTAATATGTGGCTTAGGCATCCATTGCTGTGGCCAGAAGGACCAGTGCAATCACTGAATGCACAAGGGATAAAAATGCAGGAATACCTGGCACTGGTGTGATTCTCACCAGTCCATATGGCCCCCATTTCTAGAAAAATGTCCAGACCCTGAAGCTTCTGAGAACTCATGATCTCACCAAAATTTCCCCTGTCCTTTGCCTCTACCCCCTTGTTACTCCGGTATAGCCTGCCTCCCTCTCCAAAGTGTTGTGTCCAAAGGTTTGTACTGAGGTGCCACAGTGAAGAGAGGGATGTCTTCAGGTGCCTTATGTGCATTCTTCCCACGCCAAATCCTGAATTGTACTAGAAGCAAGCCTGGACCAAGAAGCCCACCTCTCCTTGACTGGTGGCTACTGGTGGAGAACAGCTTCCCAGGCCCCTGGGAGCACCCTCCCCCCACAGTCACCTCAACACGTCTCCTGAACTTGCTTGGCACATTGGGAGATGGTCAAAAGTGTCACCAATGTCTATATGTGAGACAAGAAGTATGTCATCGAATCATAGAATTGTTAGGGTTGGAAAGGACCTTAAGATCATCTAGTTCCAACGCCCCTGCCGTGGGCAGGGACACCTAATGCTAAATCATATCATTCTTATGTCCCCTGAATTCACAGCGCCTGTACATCTCACTGCAGGAGGGAAATAGTCCATCCAACACAGTTCAAAGTTGTCAAATCTGTGCTGGCAGTTACTTACAGTACTCAGTATTTTGGTGCTTTTATAGGTTTCTCAAAGCCCTTTCCTCCCACAAGGGTCCCAAGGTATTTGGTGACAGCTGCAAGAAGGTATATGCCAGTTCTTAAAGTACTTTGAGGTAAATCCTGTTACTTCAGATACTTTGTAAGCAGCTATTTTTCCTGTGTAATTCAGCCCTTCCCTTCTCTGTAGTTTTATGCTGTTTTTACGAGTGTTAGCTGCTTTGTTAACAAGTAAGCATTGAAACAGCAAGGCATTAAATGAAGACAGTTGTCCTCTATTTATTCACACTATCCTAGACATTTGCTACACTTCGTCCTATTTGTACAAGCTCTGCTGAGTTTCAAGTCATAATAGACCTTATGTGTCCCTGTTCATCCTTCACTACTTTTGCTGTCTCCTTCACTGCACCTTAGAATCACAGAATCATAGAATACTTAGGGTTGGAAAGGACCTTAAGATCATCTAGTTCCAACCCCCTGCCGTGGGCAGGGACACTTTACGCTAAATCATATCACCTAAGGCTCTGCCAACCTGGTCTTGAACACTGCCAGGGATGGAGCATTCACAACCTCCCTGGGCAACCTATTCCAGTGCCTCACCACCCTTACAGGAAAGAATTTCTTCCTTATATCCAATCTAAACTTCCCCTGTTTAAGTTCGAACCCGTTACCCCTTCTCCTATCACTACAGTCTCTAATGAAGAGTCCCTCCCCAGCATCCCTATAGGCCTCCTTCAGATACTGGAAGGCTGCTATGAGGTCTCCACGCAGCCTTCTCTTCTCCGGGCTGAACAGACCCAACTTCCTCAGCCTGTCTTCGTACGGGAGGTGCTCCAGTCCCCTGATCATCCTCGTGGCCTCCTCTGGACTTGTTCCAACAGTTCCATGTCCTTTTCATGTTGAGGACACCAGAACTGCACACAATACTCCAGGTGAGGTCTCACAAGAGCAGAGTAGAGGGGCAGGATCACCTCCTTCGACCTGCTGGTCACACTCCTTTTGATGCAGCCCAGGATACGGTTGGCTTTCTGGGCTGCAAGCGCACACTGAAGCCGGCCCATGTTCATTTTCTCATCAACCAACATGCCCAAGTCCTTGTCCTCAGGGCTGCTCTGAATCTGTTCACTGCCCAGCCTGTACCTGTGCCTGGGGTTGCTCCCACCCAGGTGTAGGACCTTGCACTTGTCATGGTTAAACTTCATGAGGTTGCCATCAGCCCACCTTACAAGTGTGTCAAGGTCCCTCTGGATGGCATTCCTTCCCTCCAGGGTATCAACTGAACCACACAGTTTGGTGTCATCGGCAAACTTGCTGAGGACGCACTCAATCCCACTGTCCATGTCAGCAACAAAGATGTTGAACAAGACCGGTCCCAACACCAATCCCTGAGGGACACCACTCGTTACTGGTCTCCAGCTCGACACTGAGCCATTGACCACAACTCTTTGTGTGCAGCCATCCAGCCAGTTCTTTATCCACCGAGTGGTCCATCCATCAAATCGATGTCTCTCCAATTTAGAGACAAGGATGTCGTGTGGAACAATGTCGAACGCTTTGCACAAGTCCAGGTAGATGATGTCAACTGCTCTACCCCTGTCCATCAGTTCTGTAGCCCCATCATAGAAGGCCACCAAATTGGTCAGGCAGGATTTCCCCTCAGTGAAGCCATGCTGGCTGTCACCAAGCACCCTGTTGTTTTTCATGTGCCTTAGCATGCCATCCAGGAGAATCTGCTCCAAGATTTTGCCAGGCACGGAGGTGAGACTGAGTGGTCTGTAATTCCCCGGGTTATCCATTTTTCCCTTCTTGAAAATGGGGGTTATATTTCCCTTTTTCCAGTCATCGGGAACTTCACCTGACTGTCATGATTTCTCATGTTCTCTCATGCTTTAGAGGATGGCAACACTTTAGAAAAGACCCACTCCCCCAGGCAGCCTTGTTCCTTTGACTTACTGCCCATAGGCTCCCACTTAACCCACTTCCTGAGCATACTGAAATTTGGTCCCATTCCTCCTCTTTCTAAGTTCTCCAAGCTTTGCTTTACTGTCCCCATCTCCCATATTGCCTTCTGCTGTCACATCATCTATTAGCTCCTCAGTCCTCAGACCACAACCTGAACCTGTTCCACATTGTATCTGCAGTAAGAATTCACCTCATAGGAGGACAAATGCAAAGTATTACCAACAGCATCTTTTAGGGGAGAGAAAACCAAGCCCACCCAAAACCGTGTCTATCCTGAGAGCACCATGGCAGGAAATCCCTGCAGCCCTCAATCCCAAAGGAGCCATTAGATGTGAGTTTTGTGTATCAGTTTGGGAAGTGCAAGCTTCCTTGGAAGAGCTGCTATATTGCCATATGGTTGTTAGTGGGAATAAACAGAGGCACCTTGGGGTTGTTCCTAAATTCAGTTCCCTTCATGGTAACTGTGGTGGGTTGACCCTGGCTGGACAGAGGTGCCCAACAAAACCACTCTATCACTCCCTTCCTCAGCTGGACAGCAGACAGAAGATAGAATGAAGGCTCATGGGTTGACATAAGGAGAAGGAAAGTTCTCCACCTATTGCTATGATAGGCAAAACAGACTTGACACGGGGAAATGAATTTAATTTATTACCAATCAAACCAGAGTAAGATAATGAGAAATAAACCCCAATCTTAAAAGCAGTCCTCCCTTCTTTGCAGAACTCACTTCCAGGTTCTCTACCTTCTCCCTTGCCAACAGTGCAGAGGGACAGGAAATGGGGGTTGCAGTCAGTTCATCACATGTTGTCTCTGCTCTACTGTCTACTCCTACCTCCTCATGGGAGGACTCCTCACACTCTTCCCCTGCTCCAGCGTGGGGTGTCTCCCAAAGGAGACATTACTCCACTAATTTCTCCAACGTGAGTCCTTCCCATGGGCTGCAGTTCTTCAAGAACTGCTCCAGCATGGGTCCCTTCCATTGGGCACATCCTTCAGGCACAGACTGCTCCAGCGTGGGTCCCTTCCATGGGGTGCAGTCCTTCAGGAACAAACTGCTCCAGTGTGGGTCTCATAGGGGGTCACAGCTTCTGCAGCAAACCTGCTTCATTGTGGGCTCCTCTGTCCACAGAGCCGCAAGTCCTGCCAGGAGCCTGCTCTAGCACAGGCTTCCCAATGGGGTCACAGCCTCCTTTGGGCATCCCCTTTCTCCATCGTGGGGTCCTGCATGGGTTGCAGTGGGACAACCTGCCTCACCAGGGTCTGCACCCAGGCTGCAGGTGAATCTCTGCTCTGGTGCCTGGAGCAACTCCTCCCCTCCTGCACTGACCTGGGTGTCTGCAGGGCTGTGTCTCTCACATATTCCCACACCTCTCTCTGGCTGCAGTTGCTCCTGTGCAGTAACTTTTCCTCCTTCTAAAATACCTTATCCCAGAGGTGCTGTCATTGTCACTGATGAACTC